AGTGGCCTTGTTGACGATGCTGCGAAGGTATTCCGAGCCAGAAAGCACACTGGGGACAACCACCAAGAAACAGATGGCCCTCATTACGAGAAGTGGTTCACGGAGCGGCTTCTTCCATATCTTGCTCCTAACAGCGTCATTGTGATGGACAACGCTCCATATCACGCAGAGAAAGTTCCCCGAATGGCCACACAGAAGAAGGACATGCAGGACCGGCTTTCTGCGAAAGGCATTTCATGGAACAAGGGGCCGGTCAAGGCTGAGCTTTTGAAACTTGTATCTAAAGTGAAAGACAATAATCATTACCTCCTCGACCAGATTGCTGCGCAATTTTGCCGCACAGATTTGCGCTTGCCGTCTTACCACTGCCAGCTGAACCCTGTTGAGTTTGTTTGGAGCCAAGCAAAAGTGTACGTGGCCTCCGAAAAGGAAACCTTTAAGATCAGCGATATTGAGCCATTAGTCGCCAAAGGCATTCGCCCAGGTTACACCGGAGAAGTTGGTGCGTAGTTTCAGTCACTTTATTGTCGAAAAAATCAAGACGATGAAAGTGGACCCCATGATTCATAACGTTGTAGACAGCGTTGTCATCAACATGGGCGAAAATGATGCGTCAAGCGCAGACAGTGATTGCGAGTCAGATGAAGACATTGACTGAAAAACGATTAACAGATGATACCAGTGCTTCTTTTTTTTCTCAGTGTTCACACTTAAATCGCATTTCACATGTTTTCCCCTTTATATTCGTTCCTCTCGTGCAAAACTATTTAGTCAAGAAGGCGTTATATCTGAAAGTGCTGATTGCGTGCTTCTATAATATTTGTGATAAAACAAATATATCTGATAAAAACAACCATGCATCACCCAATCAAAAATTATGCTTTCGTCTGTTGGTATGCGGTAAGCTGGTGTAGAGACGTCCGCAGAAAAACTTGAATGCTAGTCACCACAACATCGGAGCTTCATACCGCATGACAACCAAATCCAAGAGTATCTTGGCACGCCGCATACGAAGCGCGTGGTGACCAACGCTCGAACGGATGTCTGCCGACTACCGTTCGTATGAAGTATGGGGCTCGGGCGAACACACGCCTGGCGCTTTCAACCAAGCTCAACTCAAAATACAGCGTCAACAACAAGCAGATGATGGATCACACCGTATCTTCGGTTCCGTAAAATAACACGCATCATATTCCAAAGAAGTATCACTAGAATTATTAATTATTAAAATCGATTAAGCAGCGATTCTAATTACCAGTCGCGGCTAAAATAGAAAACGACAAAGAGACCGTTTTGTGATGTGCTCGCTCTGCCGATTGGCTAAAGAGTATAGAGCTTCCATGGCGCTGCACGGAACTTCGGACGCTGTGCTACTGCTTCTAGGGTAGGTGTTCCTGGACTTGTGTACTTTGCACGAGGGTTTGCGCGGTGGGGTAGTTCGCTATGTCCCTAGGTTGATTTAAACGCGGAGAAGCTACAGCGGACGCTCTTGCATGTCGCGGGGTGTATACGTTCATTCTCCGCTCAGGACACGCTACTTTCTGGGGCCATAAGTAGCATTTGGAACTTTCGTGCGGTGGAGTGGTGCAAAACAGCACAGTTATTGCACTGCTTACGCGCAGGAAAAAAGGATACACTCGAAGCTCACAAAAACTGCCAAAACGAAAAACAAAACAAAAAATCGGGGATCAGCTTTAATCACGTAGTTCGCCTTTTTATAATTAGAATGAAGACATTTTCCAAGCAATCAACGCCTCTTGCATTGATTCTCTATACCTGTCGGATGCACTCTTCGACTCTTCTTCTAGCGCCCGTGTGCGCCGAGAGACGGCGCTGCCTACGTTGGGAGGCTATAGAAAGCCGATTGAAGAGAGGGTCCATCTCGAACCATGCGGAGCGTTTGTACTTTAATAGCGGACGCCTCCTGCGGATATTGGCCGCCGGTGCGCACGAACTACGTTTTTGAGTGGCGAGGAGGAAAGATGGAGGTGTTTGCAGACGATCAACGCGTCAGCTCCTCGCAGCTTGGAGGAGATCGAACTGTCACGCCTCTAGCGGTACGCTTCAGCTGTGGGGACAACGACCACATTCCCTTGTTTGTTTTTGATCAGAGAAATCCAAGATGGCGATTCGAAGGCCGCTCCTCGTGCGACTAAAGCACTGGTCAGGGTGAAACGCTGATGTCCATACCGTGCTAGGCAATATCTTTGTTATGGTGTGTTAGTAGAGAGTTTTAGTAGATCGTTCCCATGACTTCGATAACGATACCCGATACTCCGCCACCGCCTTCCTTGTGGATGCATAGTATCGTTATCGGGGCTATCGGGGGTATCGGAACGATCTACTAAAACTCTCTAGTAAACACCCTATAGGAGGTATTTACTGGACGCCATATTTGAGGGCAATGTTTATAGCGTATGCTCAAAACGAGCTCACATTAGTAGCCTGCTAAGACCGGCAACCTCGATGGTGCTAAATGCACGCTCCAAAAGGACTGCGGAAGCTCGCCGTCAGCACGCGCTCAGCAGCAGCGCACACGGATATGACCGCCAGTGAATACTCCTTATAGTTCCATCTGCTGCCCATTAGGTGAGCGGCGTTTGGCAACTTCCGGTTTTTTAAGAAATATTGTTTAGCTGTTCACAAACGACGACGATGATCTGCAAGCCTGTCTAAGCATGGTTCCGAAAACTACAGTCTGAAGGTTTCAGAATTATGCTTGCACAGGCTTGCAGCTCATTGTCGTCGTTTGTCAACAGTAGAACAAAATTTTCCAAGGAACCGAAAGTTGCCAAACGCCGCTCACCTATTGCAAATACGGCTCATAAACCACGCGTCCTGATGGGGCAGTTCAAAGCCCTCTGGAATACTGGCTCGGCACGAGCAGAGTATGCGTCGCCAGCAAAGGCCCGGTGTTAGCCTCCTCAGAGCAACTGCTCGATTCTGGTCACATGGTGTATGGCCTGCGTTTGCAATACGAGGAAATGACGAAAGAGTGTATCGTCTGCAAATGTCTCCGTCTTTCCTCCTCGCCACGCGGAAACGTAGCGCCTGCGCAATTGCGACAGATCGCCATAGGAGGTTTCCGTCATGAAATTGCTAACGCTCCCCATGGCTTGACCCTCTCTTCAATCTAGGCTCTCTATACTGTCCCAACGAAGGTGGCGCCCCCATTCTGAAGCAACGGCGGCCCCCTTTGTAGATTCCTCCGTCCAACAGGCATAGAGTATGTAGGAGTCATTGTCACTAACGTGGAAGTTTGGGCTAGCTGGTATTTCATGATTAAAAATTAAAACAGCGCAAGGACACGGACAAGAACAAGAAGGTAAACAAACAAGGCGCTGACTTACAACTAAAGTTTATTCGTGCTAACATCAAGTATAAATACTGAACGTCATGACAAACAAACAATGATAAAAAAACATGGAATGGACGCCACGTGCTCCGTAGCCACCGTTATGCGCTGTCACTGCGTGCTATAGAAAGCAACATTCCTTTTCGGATAAACATATGGTAGGAGTGCTGACGCAGTTTTCCCCCAATTTTCCAATTTCCCGCGCCTCAATGATTTCTCGAGTGAGTTTGTCTTTATTTTTCCTAATCCGACTTCACACTTGTCGAAGACGGGAGTGCAGCAGCAGTCACGACAATGCAAGCCAAGGTGACCCGACACAACTCTAAAAACGTTATACTTATGTTCTCGCAAGCGATCCTTGAGGCAGCGCCCCGTTTGCCCGACATATCTCCTGCCGCACGAGGGGGGAAATAGAGTACACCACTCCCTCCACACAGTTCACGAATCGGTCGTGGTGTTTTTTGGTGCAACCCTGCTTTCCTTTAGAACAGGGGTTCCCTTTTCTGCACAGCCCAGACAGCTTTTCCGGAGCTGAAAAAAACCACATCAACACCAACCCGGCCAACTTTCTTTAGGTTGTGCGAGATCTTGTGCACGCATGGTAAAACGGTTACTTTTTTGTTAACCCTATGAGCCCGCTGGGTCGTTTCCTCACGTGCTTTCTGAAGTAGGCTCTCAGCAACTGTCGACCGTTGCTGAGAGCCTGTTGACCACAGTTGCTGAGAGCCTACTTCAGAAAGCACGTGAGGAAACGACCCAGCAGGCTCATAGGGTTAACAAAAAAGTGTACTCTATTTCCCCCCTCGCGCGGCAGGAGATACGTCGGGCAAACGGGGCGCTGCCTCATGGATCGCTTGCGAGAACATAAGTATAACGTTTTTAGAGTTGTGTCGGGTCACCTTGGCCTGCATTGTCGTGACTGATGCTGCGCTCCCGTCTTCGACAAGTGTGAAGTGATTAGGAAAAATAAAGACAAACTCACTCGAGAAATCATTGAGGCGCGAGAAATTGGAAAATTGGGGGAAAACTGCGGTCAGCACTCCTTCCATATGTTTATCCGAAAAGGAATGTTGCATTCTCGACACAAAGTGACAGCGCATAACGGTGGCTAAGGAGCACGTGGCGTCCATTACATGTTTTTATCGTTGTTTGTTTGTCATGACGTTCAGTATTTATACTTGATGTTAGCACGAATAAACTTTCGTTGTAAGTCAGCGCCTTGTGTGTCTACCTTCTTGTTCTTGTCCGTGTCCTTGCGCTGTTTTAATTTTTAATCATTTTCACTACTTTACACAGCACTAAAGAGCCGACCGTACGTCATAGCTCAGTGTTGCTCGACTCAAGGCACACCCGCTGGCCGTCTGCTAAGCAGCAGGTGGTCGCTTCTTTAACGTAGGTTTCAGCGGAGCACGCGGCTTTAGACTAATATTTTGGCTGTCATCATATGTCGTGCCACTAAAGTGATACCGGTAATTTAATTTAATTCAATTTAGAACCGGAGTTGTCCCTTAAGAGTTTTCAATAGTAACAATTATAGGATTTGGGCGTTTGTTGGAGTTGGCTAACATAAGAAGATTTAGAAAAACTTCCGGGTCTAGCGAATGTCCTTGATAGGATGCGTTCTTTAAACGCCAAGAAAGCGTACCACTAGGGCGTAGGAGATGGCGATGTTCCCGGACATGACGAAGATGACTCCCCAGGGCATCTTGTGGTAGACGTCGTTCCACTTCAGGATACGGTTCTTGAGCTCGAAGTTGTGCAAGTCAGACGGAAGCAGGAACGCCAAGATGACGACAAAGAAACCAACCGTCGACTCGCTCACCAGGCTGTAACATCGTTCGGCAAACAAAGCTAAACGAGCACTGGTTTTCCTGTTGCGCAGTGTTTGGTGCACGAAACGTGTCTTCCGTCTGGAGTGCTTAGCACGTCTGTATTTCGATCACCTGGATTACGGCCTGGCGACGTCACGGCTGTTTTTCATGGTGAACTTAACCGCCACTCTAGCAGAAGGGAAACATTTTTGAAACTAGAAGAAATAGAAAGGAGACCAAATAACGTCTCTATATTTTTTTGTTTTTTTATGTTAGTATATTTCCTCATGGCTGCCCCAGTCTAGGGTTAAATTCATCACGGTAAACTTCCACCAGCTCGGCTTCGCACTGACTGAATTTTCGGCACGACTGTCTTGTGCATCAGATCGCTGCGGTCTGGCGGTGAAGCGGCAGCCGGCGGTCGTACACCAAACCAGACCAGGATCGCGAAAATCCCATTTCGGGGACGCTGCTGTCGGCGACGCCAAACACTCCAGTTGGAGACGCGAACGGAGCGCAAAACGTTCCGGCGCAATTCAAAGTGGAGCTGTCGCGTACCGTAGGCTGAGGAGGTCTTGCCAGCCAGAGACAATATGGGGCTGCCTCGTGACCCAAAGGAGAAGACAGACGAAGAAGAGGCCCGTTACCGTCAGCTCGTTCCAACTGAAAGCAGACTCCTGATTAGCGTCCTCGACCTTTTCGCGCGCTGCAAAGGCTCCACCCATTCGAAAAAAAGCCTCGTCGTGAAGCCCAAAATAAACCTTCTGCATTCCTTACCCAGCGAATAATACCCTAATTACACTGGCATCTTGCAATTAAGCTGCAGTTACGTTTCACAACCACACTCTCGGGCAGCTGTTTGAGGAGTGAAGAGAGCGCGGGACAGCTTTGATGAACGCTCAAGATGCGGACGTGGGCCCTTTCACTGTCACAGAGTTGCAACTGCAGTGAGGCTTACCTATGGTATAAGAAGCTTCGCGTGGTGCATTCGTAGAACTAGGAAGTCTCGACGAGCCGAGAGGATAGAGGAGTGCTGAGATGACAAGCGTTACTCTACGCACGTAAGCTGCCGGTCTCCGATGCATTTCCGACGTAGAAAGTTTCAAGTCAGCTTGAAACAGGTGCTGCGATTCTTATCAACTTTCTTGCGTCGAAAAGTTCTCGAAAAGTTTATGGAAGCGTTCGAGCGGCATCCGTTTTGCTCATTTGTGAGGAGTCCGACACGTCGGCTGTCACCCTCAGGCGTCCGGGGGGCTCTTTTTCAACTTCTTCCAACTGGCGCTGTTTACATCGGGAACAAACATTCCGAGTTTACCTAAAGCTTTACATATGACGAAATGACCTTTGCATTTAACTGCATTAAAATTATAGCTTTACATATATTTTTCGTAACAAACGATAACGCGCTTAAAGTATTCACCGAGAACACAAAAATGTATGTTCCGATCCTCGTTTAATTAAGCCAATAGGTGGTGCCCACTGAACGTCACTGCTGAGCGCGCTGTTCACGGCAGCGCATCCTCCGAACAATCACTGGTCATCTGTTAAAAAAACAACCTTAATGGCGTAGAAACGTACCTTGGGGAAGCATTGGGGAGACTCACTGTCCGCACGCACTCAGTTGCTCATGGCAGTGATTAAGAAAATTGATGGGCTCGATGAACAGCTGTGCGATTAGGAACACCGGCTGAACTCACGTCATCTCGCCCAGCTGGTCCAGCTTTCCACGGCAGATGTCCTTGGCGGCCGCCGATTCCTCGATGCCATCTTCATCGCTGCGGTGCGAAATCTGCTTCAGCTTGTGGCTCCCTTGGGCCTCTATTCGCGACTCCAGCGAACTATAGGGGGCGCACTGGTCAGGCAAAATGGAGGACGAGGAGGAGGTCGTTTCGGTTGTTTAGCACGCGGACCACCATAAATTTTTTGCAATGGTGTCACATATGAAAGTAAACCGATTTTTCGACGGTAGAAACTTTCTTCTAGTCAGTGCGTAGGAATGACACGGCGGAAGCATCAAAGAATTACTGGAAACGATGTTTGTTTCTATGGTGCCTACGAGAACCAAGCAGCGATAGCAGACGGCACAGTCAAAACGAGCTCCTCTCTTGAGCTTCTCGGCGTTGCCGCTACAGGGTGTCGATTTCGCTGGAATCGCCAATACTCACTATTTCCTCAGATAGACGTGGAAGACGAAGAGCCAGCTGAAGACGAGGCCCACGAGCCCGAAGAGGCCGTTCACGGCCACCCATTTCACCTGGCTGATGTTGAAGTTGTACTGCCTGGGACGCCAAGGAAATGGTTTCGCTGCCGCAATTCAGTCACGCAACAAGGCGCGGGAGGCGCTGGTCGAGGGAACTTGGAGAATACTTTTTCGGGGCGATTCAGAATGACAGCTGTCGCTTGCCCGACTAGATCATGCAAAGCTTCAGATGCTGCGACGACAGCAACGCTTCAAGGGTTGTCCAAACAAGACACAGCACAAGTCGTGCACTGCACGGCAAAAAGAAAAAAAAAAACGCGCTCGCTCGTAAAAGTTTTAGTGCGCACGTACGTTTTGAGTGAGGACATCAATCTGGCAAACAGCAAGGCTTTCTTCCTCGCTTACTCACTCTTTTCCTTTTATTTTTTGGTTTCGCGAGATTGGGGACCAAAAACAACAGCCGAGGTTTAGACGACAGCGAGCAAAGGGTGTGAGTTACAAAATGAGCGCTCTCCATGCTTCTGCCCAAGGAGGCAAGCGGAGGGTAACTTTTGCCCAGGCAAAAAATCAACAGAAAACATCCCAAGGCAGACCGCCATTGCAAAAAAAAGCATCCGCGTCCGGTTCAGCAAATGCTGTGCACGGCATCTGGTGTGTCCCGCTTGGACAGCTCTTTAGTCGGCTAGTCTTCTTCGGCAGCGTTTCTACACCAACCGCCAGAATCGCGATGAGCATTCCACAATGCGGTGCCCTATGGAAAGATCCGGCAAAAACTTCCAGTTACATCCGGTGAACTTCCAGTGACATCCGGTGAAAACTGGTCAAGTTTCTCCCATTTTCATTCGAAACCAGCATAGTTTACCAGTCTTTGCTGGAATATCTGGCGGAAAACAGATTTCGCTGGAACTTCACCGGCAGTGGGTTTCCAGATTTCGCTGGAATGTCCCCGGCAGCCACTTTCGCTTACCAGACTACCCGGTTTTGGTGCAAATGTCACCGGAAACGAGTTATTCGTTTCCCCGTTTACCGAGCTTCACTGGAAGCCGACGCGAGGGGAGGGGGAAGCGGAGACGGGGACTGGGTGTGTAATTATGGTGCCTAGAACGCACCAAGGTCGAGTCCCCACGCACCCTCTCTCCCTCGCATCGGGTTCGTGGGGAAAATGTGAAGAGCTCGTTTTGCTCTTTTGAAGCAAACCGGTTTCTTTGTCTGTCAACGAGCAGCGGCCCCGAACGTAAGCTCACTGTAGGCTTCCCGTTCGATGTGTGCGACCTGTGTCTTCCAGAGCAGCTGGGTGTGCGTATAAAAGGAAACATCTTTCAGTGGGACCTGTTTCTTACGCCTGTTTCTCCGTCCGGCTTCAGAAGCATCCAGTGAGCAAAAAAGACGCCGGAGACTGTGCCCGTGATTTTTTAACGGCGGTGGATGTTCGTTCCGCGCGTTCGTAGTTTTCGCTAAGCCGGCTACTGACAGTGTGTATGTGTCCTCGTGGTGCACCCGCGGCGACGGCATCAGTGACGGGACCGTGAGTGTGCCCATGATTTATTCTCAACGGCGGCGGATGTTGGTGCGCGTTCGTGGTTTTCGCTAAACGTGCTACTGACAGTGCGTGTGTGTGTGTCCTTCTGGTGCACCTGCTCGGTTTTATTAGCTGAACTACCGTACAGAGCGCGACGCTGTTTGCGCGAACAAGCGATCGCCGGTTTTTCGAGTTTTTCTCTCTGAAACCAAGAGATGTCATCCAAGTTATTATTGCTGCGGAAGGAGCTCATTTAGTTCTATAATGTAATCGAAAACATTTCGTGCTGGCTAATAGTTTTTAGAAGTAAAATGCAAAAAGGCGCCGATGTCGTGTTTGCGGTAAAAGTGTCGCGATGTGTATATCTAGGAATTTACCCAGCGGCATTGTGAGTACCTTGAAAGATATTTTTCGCGACAAAGAACTCGGTTGTTTCTATTTGGTCTAATTGCTTTGCCTACAGCTGTGCAAATTCTTTCACTGGTATCGACCCATGTGAAATAAAGACATGGAACTTACAGGTCTATATGAACTAACCGCGTTTTAATTGTTACCGAATCGTCCAGCATCTGGTAAATAGACACCACCCACAGTTCACAGGCTTCTTCCTAAATCCCTTCCGTTGACGTACGAAGAAAAAAACGGTGAGTTCCGGTGAGCTGCGGCCAGTGTTGGGTAAAGTACATTTATATAGTACTTCAATATAAAGTACAAAGTGAATGAGAAGTAATGTACTTCAAGTGAAGAAGTAAGTACACTGGGGGCAATGTGCTTAAAGTAAAATACTATAAATACAATGTACTTTCAAAGTAAAGTACAAGTATTTTAACACAATCTCTCATGATGCCCTTTCGTTTCCCTAAACAGGGATTTTTTCAACTAATATGCATCGCCCACGGGTAATCAGGGGGCATGACATTTTGCTCTCCTGATATTCTAAACCTCCTCGCTTGCGCTGACCGAGCGACATGTAGCGGGAGTTCAAAATGCTACAAGAAAGCCACCCCCAGAACAAACGGAGCGATGCGCTGTCTGCTGACGTTTCTGGTGAGAGTAGAATATCCCTCCCAGTATTTCTTCGGAGCTGACAAAGCATAATTTTGTGATACAAATTTAACAAAACCAAATTTGGGGATTGTACTTTGAAGTTGGGAATTATACTTTCCTCGAAAAGTACCAGAAAAAATTACTTTGAGTAAAGTACAAGTATACAGAAAGAAAATGTACTTCAGTAAAGTGCAAGTTTTCTAAACTTACTTGAAGTAGTACTTTAAGTACAATGTACTTGAAGTACTTTCCAACTCTGGCTGGGGCAAATCCGGTGATTTCCGGTAAATTCCGGCTTCAGTGGAAGCGAAAGAAGTCCCATAATTCAGTAAAATAGATTTTTTTACTGAAAATAAAATTCCGGTAACAAATCCGGTGACATTCCATTAAATTCCGACTTTACCGGAAGTGAGAAAAGTCCCATAATCCAGTAAAACAAATTTTTGCTGGAAATGAAATTCCGGTAAAAAATCTTTTTCAATAGGGTGTAGGATCTGACCTTTCCCCTCAAGATTTCCTGACAAACTGCGTCAAGTTTTTTTCAGCTTTCGTGACCTTCACTGGGGACATCAATATCGCAGGGAGTATTGACAGCTAGTGCCGCGTGCTAAGAAACCATCAGGACGCCATGATAATTTTCATTCCCTTCTTCTTGGTCCTTCCTTTCCTGCGCCCCCTGGAAGACCGCCCCAACTGGCCTCTTGGTGCGCATTAGACACCGCCAGACGCGCTCCAGGCCTCGAGCCGAATTAAGTGAAATCACTGACTCTTGGAGGAAGGCGTCCAGGACAAAGCTCGTCTTGTTGGCCAGCAGGACGGCCGTTCCGTAGACGACCGAGTAGCTCAGGGCCAGCATGAATGCTTTCCGGAGCACTGCGCAGTGCCTGCAAGCAGGCCAAACACATCACCGCTTCACCGGGAAGTCATTGGTTAAGGATGGCCTGAACAAACTACCGTCGCGCCATGTTGAGCACGTACGCCAATGGCAGTACACTCCATAAATGGGGAGTCGAGTCGGGGACTTCCAGGACCCCCCATAAATGGGGAGTACTGGAAGTCCCCGACCTAGTAGGATCTCATGTCTTCCCAAGGAGCTGTGTATGGGGCATCGGTTGACTACCCCAAAGGGAGTACACGTGTGCACCCTTTTTTAGAGTGTACGGGGTGTTTGCGAGGCTTATTCGGGCCTTAACAATATTCGTATATATAAACCAATTATCCGAGTGCAATGAAACCATCTTACAAATGTGTATACAGATGGTACATTTATTATATTCAAATGCTTTAGGGGAGAAAATTAGGCCTAAGGAATTCCTGCTTTTTTTATGCATAGGGAGGAAAACGATAAAACTTTCCTTTTGGTTGACGCTGGGACTCACTGATGGGACATCATAAAGTAAGAACGTTTCTTTGAGAAGAGGTCGAGCAGATCCGAGCGTGTGTCATACCTCTGTAAGGAGCAGCGTCAATCACACAGTTTGTTTACATTTTCTCCCCGTGCATGGGAAAAAACTGAATTCTTTATCCATACAGCGTTCAACCGGCACTCATGAAATTTGAGAACGACAAGTGCACCACATAAAGATACGTTCGTGACAAAGTTTCAGTGCATTCTGTTTATTGGTTTATTTATACGAAGCATTTCTTTACGTCAAAATTCCTCTGAGCAACAACGCCCTGTCCAACGAACGTTTTAGTCGGCCCCGTGAAGTTTGCTCTACGAACGTTCGATTGTCGTTCAGGTAGCGAAAGTTAAAACCCACGAATACGTCTTTAGAGAGAAGAGAATCTTCAAAAGTTGTCAGCTTACGTTTGCTCTTCGTGTAGAACGTGGTCGTAGTCCGCTGTAATAGAGGGGCGTCATTCAGACCGCGTGCATTTTGTTCGTGGCGATGTGAAGTTCGGGGACACCGCGGAAATAGCGCCGGCATACTGCAGTCACTAGCCTCCCTTTAATCCGCGAGGAGGGAAGAGAGCCTCTCGGTGGCATGGAGGGTGGACGCCACCTTCGCCACTGATGCAGCACTGCCGTTGGATCGAGATACTGCCCGCCATCCGAGCCGAATAAACTCACGAAGGGCGTGCCATTCTAGAGAGTGTGCCCATCTCGGTACAGTTTGCATTCAGTAAGTTACCCTAAAGAATCCAGTGACTTTAAGTCACCCTACCGAGCGTGTCGGCGGGCCGTAGGGATGGTACTGAATCGCCCGAGGACGAACCCTCCAGGCTCGTTTTTATGGCATTTCTAGAGCCGCACTATTGCGTTTGAATGTGGTCGACTGCGTTGCAATCATTCGTAACCGCTTAGCATGGGGGCGCAGTGTGCCTAGGTTTCAGAGTGTTTCCAACTGCCGTGTCGCTTTCACGTGCTTTCTACAAACTCCGAGGAGGCAAAAGCGTGGATTGTCTGCGCTTCCAGGCTTTGCTCCGCCAACTCTCCTCTTGGCCACGCGGCAACGCACGCATCCGGAGGAAGGTTCCGCCATTAAATTGCAAACGCTTCCCATGGCATTCTTAAATCAATAGGCTCTCTAGAGAATGCACTGGAACACTGGCGCCATCTGTATCAGGTAGCTTTTTGTCCCGACACAAAGGAACACTAAGCTGTATTTTCGAGATCAAATCTGCGCAACCAGTTCCAGGAGATAGCCTGGCACGCGGCATTCGAGGCACAAATAGTTCGCTAACTTATACGTAACGTGAGAAAACGGTGCTGCGTGAACCAGGTTTTAGGCGTTACGCAAATTTTCAGTGTTCACAAGTGTTGTGGTGAGCGGTAACAGCATCGCAGTCGGTCGCAGCCAAATGAGTGAAGCAGTCCTTCGAGGTTCTTTTGTCCTCGCTCGAAAGTCGACGAAACCTTTGTGCACACATGGCGTCGCCTGATATCCTGACATTGGAGCCTCGCGTTGCGCGGTCGCTGGCGTGAAAGTCCTCGGCACCAGCTGACACCATCAGGTGACATCTTGACGTCACGCCACGTGACACCATGGCATCACGTTGCGCTGTGGCAAAGAGGACTCGTACACGCATTTCGAGGGCCTTTGGGACGTGCCAAAGAGACAGGCTGTTTTTTCCCATAAATTTGAGCTGTCGTGGGACTAATTAAAAGGGCATACGTTACCGCAATTACCGCAGTTGGATACAATTAAGAACCTAAATACGGCATCATAATTAAATTTCAGCATCCCGGTTACATTGTTGCAGCAAAAGGGCACTCTTTTGTCTTCGCTGTTGCCTACAAGATAACCCAATTTTGCGTATGTTGAATCCCAGATAAATAGTGCACAGCGGTCTTCCTGAGCTGTTGCACAGCGCACGTCAAGACACTATGCTCTCACTTCTCACGTCAACAAACATGCAAACCCACATCCGTATCAACATTAGCGTTGCGTGTTTTCGCTGCCTCGTACTCCAGCGTGAGACGGGCGTATAGCTAGCAAAAAAATTATATATCTACCAATACCGTTCTTCTGCGCTGGAAAACGAACAGTTGGTCAAAAATTGCGCAGCGCCTCGACGACACGTAGGATTTGAGAGATAACGTAACTTAGTTACTTTTTCTTTTATTCGAGTAAACGCAGATGCATTTTATTATAATAATTTATATCTTCAAGACTGTAACTGTGTTTGAAAGATTCCATTCTATTTAACCTCATTTAACTATATAGCTCAACCCCAGAGTGACTTTTGCATGCCATTCCAACGACCACCTTCAACGCGCTGCCATCGGTTTGTTGGGAATTCGGGTGTCTCTCCCGGTAACTAAAATTCTCGCAAAGGGGCATTTTCTCGTCACGACTGGCTTCACGGGGACAAGGCACCTATGCTAACAAAACACCGCGCCTAATATTTTTTTTTTAAATTCGTTGTCGAGGCTAGCGTAGCTTCCAGAGCCTCGTAGCTCAGCACTGAGAGCATCCGACCTCGTCTTGCGCCCCCTTCGCGCGCTCTCTAGTACGCTAGAGACACCAAACCAGGCATATCGCTCGCATACGTAGCTTTCCGAGCGTTAGAACATTGCGGAAGCTTCGCCAGTCTTGTCTATGCAGCACGAAATAGCTGACGCCGACTACAAGCAAATGGCTGCCGTTAGTCCGTCCTCCCTTCATTTGTTCTGCTTTGGCGCGCAGAAAGAAGGAGGCGTGAAATGTGAAATAAACCGCATTTATCCACTTTAGGAGTAGCATGTCAAGTTATTTCTGGGATTCAGCCAGAAATAAAGAAAACAGCAGGCGAGGCTTACGTCTGCTGAGCGGAATTGGCTGGAACCAGTAGCTACTTGCTGTCCTCCGAGCCGGTCACGTGGCATAAAAAATCCCTCATACCCGCCCAGAGGAATAGCCGCTTTCACTAGCACCCCCCCCCCCCCCAGTAGTGGTTTGCTAGAGGGTCTCAGGGCGCCGCCATCTTGCTCGGTTGGGGTGCGCTTGGGCCCGGCCATGATCCGGTTACGACGCCTTTGCGAGGCTTTGTAATCGGATTATGACGGGTCCAAGCGCAGCCCAACCGAGCAAGATGACGGCGCCCTGAAGCCGGACTCGCAAACGTCTATTCCTCTAGCCAACTGTTGGTTGTTCAGCCAGTCAGGGGGTGCGCGATTAGCAGACGGGCGCCATATAGGCCCCTTCAAAAATTACGCCCTCTTGTGGTCAATCTGAAAATACTGTAAGGTGGCGTGCGCAAAAAAATCCTACACTCTAAAAAAAGCCCGTACGTCTACTTTCCCGCATAACACTCGGAGGGCCAATCACCGTAACTTACGGAGGCAGCTCAGAAAATGACGATGCCGAAACATATGTTTAGAGCAAAGAACGCAGTCCGAGTTGTGACATTAAGCAATTCAAGCCTGATGTTTTGTATTGCTTAATGCCACAACTCGGACTGCTTTCTTTTGTCTAAACATATGTTTCGGCATCGTCATTATCTGAGCTGCCTCCGTAAGTTACGGTGATTGGCTCTTCGAGTGTTCTGCGGGAAAGTAGACGCACGGGCTTTTTTTAGAGTGCAACAAACTGACAAATCTATAAATGATGGAATACTTACTTCCAAGAGACTGTATACAATTGATAGACTTGCCTTTTTTATGGTATTTTCTGCGCACGCCACTTTGCAGCCTTTTTATATCGACCGTAAGAACGCGTAATTTTTGAAAGCCGGTTTCTTTTTTTTTTCCAACTTTTTGCTCGGGTAAATTTTTATTATTATTATTATTATTCGATGATTTTATTACCTATGGGCACCTGTGGTAAATTGTAGCGCGATACGTTACCGAGCATATTTATGCGGTCACTTAAAGGGGTATTCACACGAGGGAGAAATCCCGGGGATTTCTCCCCGGCTCGCGCGCATCACGAGACGAAAACGCGAGGCTTTTATACATGGCAAGGCCTGACGTTTTCTTCTCGTGATGCGCGTGCCGTGGAGAAATCCCCGGGATTTCTCCCCCTCAGAATCGGGGGCACGCGGTATAGAGAGTACGGCCACAGCTGTGTGCGCCAATGCTGAGCTCGTGCTGATGGCGAGCTTCCACAATTTTTTTTGCAACGTGCATTTCGCACCATCAAGAGTGCCGGTCTTAGCAGCCTATTGATGTGAGCTCGTTCGGAGCATGCGCTCTAAACAGCACCCACAAATATGGCGTCCAGTGAATACTCCCTATATTGGTCTGTTGAACGTGTTCCCAGCACGTGCTTTCTTCCTCAGAATATCAGACCATAGCCCCCTACGTACTGACAAAGCCTGGCAGATCGCCACGAGAAGCGGCCGACGAAATGGAAAAGGAGGAGCGGCAGACAGCGGATGAGAGGAGAGCCACGTGACTGACGCCCCGCCGCGGCGAGGCGCCGAAACACACTTCTCCCGAGCGAACAAATGTGTTTCGGGTCCTCGCCGCTGCAAAAGCTGTGCGCTGACGTCCAGGGTCCCCGAGAAACGGCTCTTTGATGTTCTGTGCTACCAGATCCTCGTGCTCCAAATCTGCGACCGGGCACTCTGTGGCTCCTTCGTCGAACTGCCAAGCTTTGTGAGAATGGAGGAGGCTATGATCAGACGCAAGCGTTCCCAGCGGCGTCGCTCGCCTGCGTGGTGCGTACCGTAGGCGGGCGCCTCCGGGGTCTCGGCGGCGACTCGGGCCTCCTCGGCGCCCCTGTGCTGGCGCGCCTCCTCGGCGGCCTTGTTAAGCCTGGCGACGCGTACGCGCACCTTGCTGGCGTACACCTCGGCAACCAGGGTGTCGACGAGGGAGACCATGACGGCTGTCACGGCCGCGTCCGTCACGAACATGGAGAAGAGGAACACCAGCCACATGTAGCAGAGCAACAGCCAGCGCACGCTGGTGCCCAGGGCCAGCAGCAGGTACAGCGCCATGCGCCGGTTCAGCTTGGACGTCTGCAGCAGGATCGAGATGAAGAGGCCTGACAGCGCCCGGATGACGTCGTCCTGCGCCCAGGACGAGTCGGGATTGGCGCGAAAATAGCGGCAAGCCACCCTCGAGTATCAGCCATCCATCCGATCTACCGACGCCTGGCTAGCGCGCTCGGAGCCGCGTCTTGAGACGGAAGCCCGGGCGGATGTGTAGTGTAGCCTATGGAGAACTTCATTTACACTCCATGTCAGGTGAAAGTCTCTCTTTATTATACTTCGTCTCACCTTAGTATGGACTAACCGCGAATGCTGTGCTAGCGCGAGCGGCTAGCCTTGACTGCCTTAACTGGAGCACTCGCTGAACGAGCGCTCGTGCAGCCGCCAAGGCTTCATTCAAAGCAACTATCTCGCGCTTTTAGCACGTGCGGCTAAAGGCCCATACGCACATTCGCGTTTGAACGCGTTTGAGTGCGTTGCGGAGTCCTTGCGGCCAGGCGCGGTCGCTTGCAGAGCGACGCGCGCCTTCCCGCAACGCTCCGTAGCGCGACGCAAGCGAGTAGAGACTCGCTCAACTTTCCGAAGCGTTGCGGTGCGTTCAGGTGCGTGCAAGAGGAGATGGGGTGACGTGTTCGCTCGCCCCACCCGGCCGACTCGGCGAGGCGTATCCGGTTCGCCGGTCGCAGTGCTTGCTTTTTCGTTTTGGGGAGCGGTGGGGACTGTATTTTCCAAGGCTGCGATGGTTCAAGCTTGACAAAACGTCGGGGAAGCCGGCGAGATTCTCCCAAGATCGAACACTTCGACGCTGTCGCCGTGCGCCGCCATGTTGCCTTGGATTTCGCTTACTATTGGTGAGCCACTAGCGACGCGTTCTTATTGGCTCTTGACTGCGGTTGACTGCGTGTCAACGCAACTGTGCGTACAAGTTTGGCGCAAGCGGTCTTCGCAACGCAACGCGCCCGCATGCCGCTACGGTACGCACCGCGCTCAAACGCGAACTAACGTGAGACGAAGCATAGATGTACCATCGCGGACAACGTTAACTGAAACTGTCCTCGGTGCTTCTTCGGCGTATCTTCTGATAGATACACCAACTCATGTTTTCAAACAAACCGGAGCGCTCCTAGCGGACGCCACCGGCGCCGCGCATGCGCGGTGGACGGTGGGCAAGAAGCTCGCCGTCGCCCATAAACAAACCATTGAAATGCGTTGTTGTCGGCGTCGGTGTGAGTCCCCGTGCTCTTTTTCGCGTTGGAATTGTTGATTCTACATCCTCCTAACAATGTTTGACTACTTGAGCGGCTTCAGCAAAATTAACGAGGCTCGTTACACCGCAAAACTTTGCGTGAATAATGTGACGTGCGGCGATTCATTTCACGTGGACGCCGCAGAATGGGCGCTAAAGCCTGACTCCCATGATGAGATTCATCTCGCTATTTTCAGACACGAAGTCGCTCGGGCTGCAAAAGCGTGAACCGTAGTTGAGGTGGGGGGCGTCGATACTGAAAACCGCAAGTAGAATCGGGCATTACAAGTCGGTGACGGCCACTGGTAACAATGATCAACATCTTGTATCTACTGTTTACACTTAGCCTACTCACCCCAACCAACCTTCAAAAGTGTTTTGAGGCCTGCACTTACTTCTTATCGAAATTACCGGGTCAACGTTTGGTTTTATGGGCCGCTTTCGTTTGAACGAGCTGACGACAAAAAGCAGACAAGTTTGAAAGAGCAGACGACAGTTCAAACGGATGGTCAATGGAGTGCGGGCAAGAAGCACCGCGTCCCGCGTCAACAAACCATTGGAACGTCACGTTCTCGGCGTCTGTGCGAGTCTGCATACTCTTTTTCGCGTTGGAATTGTCGATTTTACGTCCTCATAGCAATGTCTTACCACTTTAATCGCCTGAGCGAAATTATCAAGGTTCGTTACGCCGCTAAACATTGCGTAAATAATTTGACGTGCGGCGATTCATTCGCATGAACGCCGCAGAATGGACGCCAAAACCATGATGAGATTCTTCTAGCTATTTTCGGTCGCAACGTCGCTCGTGCTGCAAAAGTGTAGAAGGTAGCGGCGATGATCGACGTCGATACTGAAAATCGGAAGCGGGAACAGACCAAGCGTAACAAGTCGGTGATGGCCACTGGAACCTATCATCTACATCTTGTATCTACTGTTTACGCCGAGCCAACTTGAGTCTTTTGAGGCCTGCAATTACATCTTATTGCAATCACCGGGTCAAAGTTTGGTCTAGGGGCCGCTTTTGTTTGAACGAGCAGACGACAAAAAGCAGACAAGTTCGAAAGAGCAGACGATCAGGCGGCCGTGTGATTTTGAAGACGCACTGAACCCGCGGGTGGTCCTGACAACTTGACGGTTTTGTCTCGTTCATGTTGGAACAAAACAAATACATCTGGCGACCACAAAGTGTTGCCCACACAAGCAATCGTAGTTCGGCAGCGTCTGGTTTGCCCTTGTCACGGCTACTATCCACGTTCTCGGACGAACGGAGAAGGCAGAAACACATCAAAACTGATCTTCAAACCTTTCCAGACTCTTGGTACAGCCCCCCTCGCAGCATTTCGACAAGAAGGCAGGTTTTTTGTCTCGTTTCTCCCAAAAGAACGCGAGAATGCATGTCTCGCACCGCAACTTCTGCCCACCACCCCAGACCGGAAGTGCGACCGACGCGCCACCACCGCGGCGTGACGTAGGAGAGTTGAGTTTGTGTAAATGCGAAGTTGAGGTCCCCCTCGGGATTGTTTGATAAGCCAAGAGACGATGCGCCTTGCAAGTTGGCGCATTTCAGTCTTCTGCGCATGGGAAAGGAGGTTATATTAAGCTCCGCCTCCCGGGAGGGGGGAGGGGGGGGGGGGGGGGGGGGGGGTCGCGGAGGTAAACATCTCGGCGTCGGCAATGGCGGATAGCAGCTGGCGGTAGCCGTAAGTCCTTCGCGTGGTTGCTGGTTAAAAAAAGAAAGAAAAGAACGTTCCGCTTCTGTCCTGTGTGATTTAGGGGTCGGCTCCGATCAGGCACTGTCCAAGGGCAGTGTTACCAGGGGAAATGAAAACGTGCTGCGTCTTCAGATGTGGTGGGCGCATTCACGACGGTGTGTCGCATTTTAAATTTCTGGGAGAATTTACGGATTGGGAGCTCTTTCTTGAGTCGGTGGATGGTGGACCATGTCCGTTCTTAGTTGGTGGAGTGATTTGTCTGGTTGATTCCGATAACGAACCACCTTGCACCCTTCTTAGAGAGACAAGCGGCTCCTAGCCGCACGAAACAGAGCAATAACAGGTATGTGATGCCCTTAGATGTCCGGGGCCGCACGCGCGCTACACTGAAGGAAGCAGCGCGTTTTTATTCCTGTCTATTTAAAACCGTAAGCTTAGAAAAAAGTGACTTGAGCAAATACAGAGGGCTAAATGAAGTACATCGGATTACCCCGAGCAAGTGTTCGTCTGTTTAAATAACAGAGCATAGAAAAATAAGGTTCCATAAAATTTCGCCAAAAATAAAAACAATAATTACTTCTTGGTGTCAACGAGTCGACGACATAACTTCCGCGATAAGCTCGACGCCGCACACGAAAGGAGGGAACTTGCGGACGCTAACTCCCCTCGTTCTCGGCTGTTAGCAAAAAAACCTCGGCACGTCGGCCACCTCACCCCTGAGTCCTTTGGCTTCGCTCCTTGACACGTGTCTGCTAGAATTGTTAGACAAAAACACATCGTGCCGCTCGAGTTATTTCGTCTGTCATCTCTGAAAGGCGAAGTCGAGCTCGCTCGTAAAGGTACGACAGCTGTTGAATAGCAGACGACGTCGCAAAGGAGCAAACGGCGCCCAGATAGTGGGTCTCGGCGACCCCCTATCTTTCCACTCGAGCCAATCAGAGCTCGGCGTTCTGACGTCACCGCAACCCCTGCGCAGGAAGCAGACGAACTTGCCCTCCGCATAGAGCTTGCGGGGACCGCGGATAAAAGTCGGATCGGGGGCTCATATACTCAACGGGGGTCTGGAATTTTCCCCGAATAACGAAGACCGAGCCAGCTTGTATGCGATCGACCGCAGGTGTGTGTCCGCGAGGTGGAGCTCACGTTCATGTAGCGCGTGGCCACCTCCTTGGCCGGGATGAGGTTGGAGAGCGGGAAGACCACGAGCGGCACGAAGGACGCCACGTGGTACGGGATCGGCTCCAGGACCCAGAGCACCGCGATGCCGCCCACGGCCAGGCCGCACTGGAGCAGCTGCGTTCAAAAGGGCCGCCAAATGAAGCGTGGACGGGATGAGAAGCATGTGATCCGTTTCACACAAAGTAGTCGACAACACTTGCTTCGAATAGATACAGTGTCGCATCCGGCGTACCGCGAGGTTCTATAGTCTTTCGCCGCTATCGTTTTTATTGTCTATCAATGACTTACCTTCGGATATCGATGTAAACATCAAATTGTTTGCTGATGATTGTTTTCTATATAGTATCATCGATTCCCCCGATGACCAGCGTAAACTAAACATAAGTCTCTCTAAGGTCGTCCGCTGTTGCAGGGCGTGGCAGGCGAATTTGAACCCCTCCAAGTGTGTAACTACATCCGTAACACACACAAAAACTTACATTTTTAGTTACAGCAGAGACAAACCTACACTTAGCAGCGTTTAAAAATACAAGTATTTGGCAGCCACCATTACGAATAACTTGGCCTGCAACTCACGTTGCTTCTGTTATTTCAAAAGCTACAAAAATACGTTGGCAACCAAAACGATCGCTCAAATTCGCAACCCTCGAAGTTAAATTTCTAGCATATACACCACCCCCACTGGAATATGCACGCGTCGTCTGGGACCCCTACATAGCCATCAATTTTAATAAATTGGAAACCGTGCAAAAAAAGGCGCTGAGATTTATTTTTAATAAGTATGGACGGTACGATCCGCCGATATCATTCATGGAACACACAGACCTGACTCCTCTTTCCCACCGCGCGAGAATCGACAGGTTAAAAAGCACTCTTCCATGCAGATCATTACGGGCAGCCTTCATATGAGTACAGACAACATATTTAGCGCTTCCATCAAAACTAACACTAGAGCTTCACACCAAATATATATAAATCATTTCTAAACTCGCATAAATTGCTTTACAAACTCGTTTTTTCCTGGAGCTATATCCGACTGGAATGACCTTCACTCCAGCATCCCTAATTCAGATTCACTTGAAAACTCCCTGCACCGGCCGGCAACACGATGAGTTGCATCATCGTGTTGAAATGTATTTATTGTCCCATCTTGGAACCCTCTCCCGCAATACCCCTGTACCGAGTAGCAGTATTGTAAAATAAATAAGGCCATCAATGGTGAATGCAGACTCTCGGCGTTTTTCCGTGGGGTGAACATTCCCGAAACCCCTCTTATCTATGGCGCGAGCAGATCAGGTCACTAAGCGTGTGCATGAAGGACGGCGGCCGCACAGCATTGGTCGGTTACAGAGAGCGTGACGTAACACCATCTGCAGACTGCCGCCGCGAAGTTGCGTGAAGGGGGTGGGCCGAGGGGGGGGGGGGGGGGGGGGAGGATTAAAGGGGCTTTGAGAAGGATTCTGAGATCGCCTAAATATGAATATGAAGATAACCCACTCTGCTGGCTCTAAGCATTTTAGGAATCCCTAAACCATGACGATACGCGACCGATTTCTTTGTTAAAAAAGCTACCAAAGATCGCAACACACCGAAGTCATCTCATGCAATGGGAGGAGCATGTTCTGAAACCAAGACCACTGTCAGCCAATAGCGAGCGAAGGATCCTCGCATCTCCGACCGGTAGACCCGCGGAGTGATATCTCCAATGCGCGCAGCTCGTCGCCCGGACAGCCCGGACAGTCGAACTTTGGCGAGTTTTTTTTGAGACAGTCGTACAGCCGTAGCAGACAAAGTCAATAGTGCTCTATGGCTACCATCGCTTCATCGCATCATGGCTGTCGCTAACCTGACGCCGCTCAAGGAACAGGTGCTTTGACGAACAGCCGACATGGGTCCATTGCTTGCGATGCGACACCGTTGCACCGTTGCACGACGTTCTAGGGATGATGAACAAGCGTGAACTCGCGGACGATGACGGATCGGAAAGCAGGCTTGGAAGTCACCTGCGTCGCAGGCGGAATCTGCGAAGACCGATGATTCAGCCCAGCGAGCGCGAGCTCTAGAGCAGACCAGCCGACGACCGGACACAGCACTCCCACGGAAGACGAAAAGATAGTGCGCTGTTTTTAGAACGATTAATGCGGTATTCTGTTCCCTCTCCGCGAAAAATTAACATTGGTCTCACACTGTTCTTTGCTCTTATTATCTACAAGAGCATACAGATTTTGTAATAACGGCGTTTGCAATCTCGACGAAATGTCGCGTTTTCATTGGTTACATGTCGGCCTGGCTGCCGGAACATGCTCCTCCCATCGACTGAGAGGACCGGGGTGAGTTGCGATATTTGATTGCCTTTTGAATAGAGAAATTTGCCGCGCATGATCGTGATTTAGGAATTTCTAGGATGCCCATAGCCCGCAGAGCGAGTTATCACCATATTCAGGCGATCTCAGAAACGTAGTAAGGGCGACTTTAACACGCACTCCAGTGGTATACACCCGCCGTTCCTGTGCACCGCCGAATTGGCGAAGAGGGACGTCGCCGGCGGTTGCTAGCTGTTACGTCAAGGCGTCGCTCCTACACTCTTAGAAAAAGCAAGTTTGCATTATTTGAAGTTGATTGAATATATTTCTTTCGTCCTGCGGCAACGTTGTAGGGTGATTTCGTCGAGGGTACTGGATGCCTGCTTTAACACTGTTAACTGCAGGTAAGCGTAGTTCTATATTTTATTCTGATTTTCTAGTTCCCATTTGTGCACTTGAAATGGGGCTCTTGATCTTTATGTTTATTTTGTGTGTGTGCTGTTTGTTCATTTCCGAGAGAAAATTGAGGGTATTTAGAGTAAATAAATTAGGGTAAGACACACAAGGCGCTTGAGTGCGTTTCTTTCGGTGTTCTTTTTTTCTTGTGTTTTCGTCCTTGTGCGCTGTTCTTCTCATGTCTAAATAAAACATACATTGAATTTTAATCAGGCAAATCACTTCGGCAAAATATTTACATATTTGCCGAAGTTCGACATTCGGCAATTAGAAATTATTCGTGCGCTCCGCAGTCATGAAAAGTAGTATATTACGGAATAAGGTCATTAAGTTGTGGCCGGCAGAGAGACTAGCAATTATAATGTCGTCATGACTTTTTTTTTTTTTTTTGCGTGCGATTAGGCTTCTTTAAAAGTCTAATCTTTCAGTAGGCGCGTTAGGTATGGCTCAAGATTGCATTATTTGAAGTTGATTGAATATATTTCTTTCGTCCTGCGGCAACGTTAAGTGCAGGGTGATTTCGTCGAGGTTACTGGATGCCTGCTACCTTGGACAAATCCCTTGACAGTTAATACTGCTTACTGCAGGCAAGCGTAGTTCGATATATTATTTTGATTTCCTTGTTCCCATTTGTGCACTTGAAATGGGGCTCTTGATCTTTATGTTTATTTTGTGTGTGTGCTGTTCTTTTCATTTCTGAGAGAAAATTGAGGGTATACTTCGAGTAAATAAATTAGCGTAAGACACACAAGGCGCTTGAGTGCGTCTTTTTCGGTGTTCTTTTTTGTGTTTTCGTCCTTGAGTGCTGTTCTTCTCATGTCTAAATAAAACATACATTCAATTTTAAATTTTAATCTGGCAAAGGTCTTCGGCAACAAAATTTACATATTTGTCGAAGTTCAACATTCGGCAGTTAGAAATTATTCGTGCGCTTCGCAAACATTAATAGTAGTATATTACTGAATAAGGTCATTAAGTTATTGTCGGCAGAGAGACTAGAAAGTATATTGTTGTCTTGGCATTTTTCTTTTTTGCGTCTGATCAGGCATTCTTAAAAGCTGATCATTCAGTGGGCGAGTCAGATGGCTCACGTTTGCATTATTTTAAGTTTATTGAATATATTTCTTTCCTACTGCGTCAACGTTGTAGGGTGATTTCGTCGAGGGTACTGGATGCCTGCTACCTTGGACGCAACTGCAGGTAAGCGTAGTCAGATATATTATTTTGATGTTCTTGTTCGCATTTGCGCACTTGAAATGAGGTTCTTGATTTTAATATTTCCTTTGTGTGTGTGTGGTGTTCGTTCATTTTCCAGAGAAAATTGAGGGTATACTTCGAGTAAATGAATTAGAGTAGGACACACAAGGCGCTTGAGCGTGTCTTTTTCGGTGTGTTCTTTTTGGGTGTGTTCTTTTTCTTTGTTTTCGTCCTTGTGTACTGTTCTTCTCATGTTTAAATAAAACATACATTTAATTTTAATCTAACAGAGCACTTCGGCAAAAATATTTGCATATTTGCCGAAGTTCGGCAGTTAGGGTTGGCGGTCATGTGGGTCTGCTGTGGTGCTGAGTAGCTAATGTGGTGTAGCGCTCTGTGGTGTACGTTCTTCCTCTGTCCTTGTCTTAAAGCGCACTCATGTTTTTTCACGTACAATACCAACTCGCCCAACAATCAGCACTTGTATATACTAACCTGCTACAGTAGTTGTACCCCTTTGACTAAGACTTGTTAGTCTTCTAGGTAAATCGGGGTGACAAATTTAAATATGACCGGCGAATACAAAGTGCTTACTAATCTACGATTACCACCAGCCATGTGATAATTTTAGTCAGTGGTGGTTAGTCAACAGTTAAAGTAGTCACGTCTGATAAGTATGGTTGATGCTTTATAATGCTAGAATCAGTGGCCCATCAAATGCTCAAAATGCGTCTTAGAAAAATCTAATATTTCTTCACAGTTTATTTAAATTGGGGATGATATGTTTCAACTTCATATCACATGATTTCCACATTTTTTTTTGGTTCCAGGCAGGCGGTGCAATCTACCCGGTGGCTGTCAGCTCAAGCCTAAGTAATCCAGAGGCGCCCAGCGATGTGGCAGTGGAGGGAGACCTCGAAGCCGCGTCGCCTGCTGAGGCAGTCCTGGTTGCATTCTGCCTCTACTTCATCTTTGACTACACGTATCATCACCAGTTCAGGCGCAGATTCACTGCACTAGAGTACTTAATTGATCTGAAACACTCAAATGTGGAGTCACGTGCAACGAATTGCTTTCGAACCTAAACGAAATGCCAAAAAGTAGTTTCTCTTTTAATGCCTTTTTATGCAGGTTTAGGAATTTTTTATGTCACTCGTT